ATAATAAATCAATTAGCTATGGTTTTATTATAAAAGGTAATAAAAGGTAATATAGAAGCAGTTACAGATCAAGTGGTATATATACGATAACATTAACTCTTTATACCCTTTTGGTCTTTACAACATGCCAAGAATGAACAAGTGGATAAACTATAATCACTTTCCTTGAGAATGAATTGATGACATTGATTATGCTTGGGCAAATCCAGTTGGACTATAAGCATCTTCCTCTACATTGTCAAAAGCAGCTTTCCCAGTTATCATTTTTATAGCGATTTCTGAAACTTCAACAAACCATTCATCCTCTGGCAAAACACTGCCATTCAAGTCTCTTTGATTAGCACTATGAAGCAGTTGAAAAAGAAAGATAGATAATTGCATCATATATATGTACCTCATGGGATCTAGCCCTGTAGCAGCAACAGCATCAATAGCCCTACCAATAATGTTTTTAATAGCTTGATGCAGATGACGAGACAAGTAACGACCTTGTGATGAAAATATCATCACAAATTGCATGTCCAAATAAAGCTGCACAAGTTATTTATATGTAAGTCTCAATCTGCAATTTGTTTTGATACTCAAGCTTAATAAATCATCTACCTGTTGAAGGCCAATAGGACCCAAAGGAGTTGGGCCTGTTTCAATTTCTTCCCAAAAGGCTTGGTCATCAGAAAGCCATAGTATCACTGTTTCTGCAAGTCTCATCAATAAAATTGTTGCAAACCTTTCCCTTCCCACAAATACATCTGATACAATGCCTGCTACTCCGGTAAGCTTTACAAAAAGCTCCTGAACAATAGTAAACGAAATGATCAACCTTATTATACTCTATCTATCACCGAGACTTCATATTGAAGACATGTCTGGTGTCTGACACACAAAGTAGAAGTGTAGAGCTATAGCCAAAGGAAACATGAAGAATCATTTGATTGTTTACCTGAAAAATTGGAGAAGGAAACCATTCAGGTATCTCCCCTTTCTCCTCCATGCTCAAATACATTTGAGCATTCAAAAGCGGCTCTCCATCTTCAGTGAAGATCAGTTCAAGGGCATGTTGTCTGCAGAAACTGTCTCTCAAACGATCAACTTCGCGCTGAAATCTCTTCTTCAGTTCACGCTGTTCTGGAAGTCTTTGTTTATCTGACGCTCTTCTCTGAGAATCATCATCGCCTTTTGTGATAACTGAAAGTTTGATAACAGCGCGCGGTAGCAGCTCGTCAGCTAGCAATATTGCATTGGCTAGCAATGCTATCTGTTGCGTTTCTGTCTCAGCAATCTTAACAATTTTTGGTCCAGTGCCTTCTAGATTCTCAATCACAGCCGAACCTGGCATTGCGTTTATTAACAGATTGACATAGAAGCTGAACACCTGGTGAAGTCCTTCTAATGCAAGGCCATCCAATTGTAGGATTTCAAGTGGCCCTACATCTTCAAAAATTTCCTACATTTTCCAATTCAAATCGTAATATATGATTCAAATCCTAATAATAAATAGACGGATTTATATAATTAAGAAGTAATCACCTGAACCATCGAGTTGAATTTGTGAGCACTGATTGAAAGCTTTGGCTGGTATGAATTCAAACTAGAATAGGAAGAAACTGGATGTAGGCCAGTATTATTACTCCTACTTGTTGGTGCATATGCGAGCAACCAATCCTCGGAAGCAGCTAAAGCCGCACTACTTTGTTCAATTCTTTTCAAATTTGTGTGAAGTGCTTGTTCAACAAATGGTCTAAAATGTTTAATCAACACAGGTGAAAGTGCCATCCCACTAGCCTCTAAAAGATGACAGTGACTAAGACAAACATGAACACATTCAGATGCGATTCTAAGACCTCCTGATGCAGCTATCGAGACGAGAATCCGTTTCTTAAGGAGGAGCGAAAAATGCTCGGCTTGTCTTACTGCCCAAGTTACTAACTCAGAAGTATACGCAGGTTCTTCTCCAGCAAAAACTGTCAAAGAATCCGATGCTGCTTGTGAAATAGTTGAAAAAACAAGGTGCGAAATTGATGCAGTGTATGCACTTACTCCTCCATAAGTTGTGGACTCGAGACTTTGCATGTTACGGCTTAACTTTTCTTTGTGAGATTTAAGTAGTAACGTATGAGCACGAGGACCGTCCCCGAGTATTTTCAACGCTAATGCTGTTGATCGAATCTCCGCTCCGCGAGTTGATGGTTGGCAGATTGTTTCTGCCAGCTGATCAGCTAGCTTTTGTCTGTGTTCAGTGATGGCATTCTGAAGCGCGTGAAACAAACTCGGACTTAAAGTTTTCCCTTGTATAATTTCTCTTGTCATTTTTTCTCCTTCTTCCAAAGCAGCCATTGATTCATCCACTCTTTTCTCAGCTAGTAGAACATCAAGGGTTTCAAGATATCCTATTAGCCATTTTTCTGTCTTGGATATGTCTGTTTTCTCGTTTATGATATCGTCCATGTCTGAATCTTCGTTTCCGGTCACCAAGGAACCGAGTTGACACCCTTCCGCTAAACCATGAACTAATGCAGCTTGGTTTGATAAAAGGTTTCTCATGGATAGTAGCTCCCCTTCAAGATCTGAAATCTCTTTCGATGTACTGCACATAAACATCACAGAGACTTAGTTTTCAAGATAGCCATAGAAATCACAATCAAGTTTGGCTCACCGAATGAAGGCGGAGTAATTAGCAAGAACACTTTTGCGCATTTCTTCTGCAGAAGCTTTCTTAAGGTCAACAAGATAGGCACACAAGTGCCTTATCTCCTGCAATTAACAAGAAAACATCAGTATTGTGATTGCGGACAATCTAGATCGATGATGTTGCACGAATAATGGCGATACCTTCTCGTTCATGCTGCGGGATTTGGAAGCAACATAGGCATTGGGATCAAAAGTAGAGCTTTTGAAAACCTTAAGCTTCTCACTGAGTGTGAGATTAGCATCAAGTTCTGCAGAGTTTCCAATGCTTGAGGAAACAGATCCTCTTGGAGTTATGAAAGGTGTGTGATCCAATGACATTGTTTAATTCTGTGTTACAATATTACACAATTATGCATGTGTGCATGCAATGAAATATTACAAATAAGAAATCCCTATGTAAGTTGATTGAATTAGGAATGAAGAACAATATAAAGATGAAGAAGAATCCACCAAAATCTGAGAAACATTGAGATAGGAATGATCTAATATTTAGGATCTAGTGATTGCAAAAAGAAAAGTAACATAGTTTAGAATGATTCGTGACATTTTTGCTTTCATTGATAATAGAATATTTAGGATCTATTAGATTCGAACCCCGAAGGCGTTTATATTATCTTTGGTGGTGAATATGATTAGATTTTTGGAAATGTAACATTAAAAATACTTTGTTAGTTTTTTTTAATACTGTAGTTTTTTGATGATTAAAGTATAAAATTATTGTTATTATGGTAATGTTAACTTGTGCCACAAGGGCACAAGTTAAGAACTAAATTAAAAAATATTGTCTTGGAAATTGTGTACAAACTTTAATTAAAGTATAAAATTAATTTTTAAATTGTTTTTTCCAATGCAAATTTACTATAAGTGGGTCTCTTAACTTGTGTCATTGGAGCACAAGTTAGCATTACCCTAAAAACATTATTGGTAGGGCTATTGATGTTGTTGCTGCTACAGGGCTAGATCCCATGAGGTACATATATATGATGCGATTATCTATCTTTCTTTTTCTACTGCTTCATAGTGCTAATCAAAGAGACTTGAATGGCAGTGTTTTTCCAGAGGATGAATGGTTTGTTGAAGTTTCAGAAATCGCTATAAAAATGATAGCTGGGAAAGCTGCTTTTGACAATGTAGAGGAAGATGCTTATAGTCCAACTGGATTTGCCCAAGCATAATCAATGTCATCAATTCATTCTCAAGGAAAGTGATTATAGTTTATCCACTTGTTCATTCTTGGCATGTTGTAAAGACCAAAAGGGTATAAAGAGTTAATGTTATCGTATATATACCACTTGATCTGTAACTGCTTCTATATTACCTTTTATTACCTTTTATAATATAACCATAGCTAATTGATTTATTTAGATGTCACATTATTTTTATGTTTTCCAAATTCTTGTATCTTCTGTGATGAGTAAATTAAGAGAATCAAAAACGAAATATTCTTGTGTGTATTATGAACTTATAGCGCTAGTGAACATCATTGATGTTAAGAATCCAAGGTAGCGTGAGGCATGCAAATAGGTCAAAATAGAATAAACTTGTTCAAGTCTTTTTACCACTCTTGTTAAATCCCTTTCCCTCCTAACAGTAATGTAAAACCATGGTCACAAACTAAGTTGTATTCAGTTACAATCATGATTGTGTTTCACAAAATGAAATGTTCAATAAAGTCACATTACTAAAAGAAAGGAACAAATATATAGAATGTGAGTTAAAAGAATAGAAACATATTCAGATACTCAGCCTTAAATTTGCTGAGTTAGATGGAGATAGATAATGTTATAACTAGCTGTGTAGTAACCTCAATAATGGTAAGAACAGTAATTCTTTTCAGGTGTTGTTACTCACTAAATATCATAGTCCAAATGATCTTTCAAATAACGGTTCCTACTTGTAGGTGAGTGTTGTATCCAATGTGTGCGTGCACTTCATACATTGTGATCTACTCTTGTAGGTCAAACACAAGTTTCACCTCATTCAAATCTGCTTGATCACTTGGTCCAAATTTAAAAGGTCGGTGTTATGTGAGATGAGTAATGTGGGACATGGATTTTCATTTACCAACAATTTGATCACTTTGGTGGAAAAATGTTGGATATATGCCCAGTCTGGAAATGAACTGAATTGGTAGTTTTTTTTTCTTGATAATTGAATTGGGAGTTTTTTATATTGATGAAACTAAACTGAATACATGAAACTTAAATCATGTGAGATGTATTCGTATTTATGTTTTTACCAAACTACATTTCAAAATGTTATTAAACCAAGTATCAATAATATAAATCTCCATTCTTCTCTCCAGTGATAGATTATTGTGCCTGATTTGGAAACTTTCTTTTATCACTCCAGACGAGCTTAGTTTGAGCTCCATTTGCACTCTTCCCAAATGTCAGTGCCTGCCATAGACTGAATGTCAATAAACAATAGGACAGAAGGAAAGATGTAGAGTAATATAAAGTCACTAAATCCTGCAAAATAAATATGGCCAAATACAAAATCTCATGAGTTTGATTTGACTAGAGTATAATTTTTTGTTCACATGTATTAATCACATTTTATCATTATGTCACTGTTGTATTAATTCTTAAAATATTTCCATAAATATTTGTATTGCAGTATATGATTGGGTGTATTATAAAACTGTTTAAACACTTTTCAAGCTTATTAAATCTGAATTGTCGTGCATACAAATGTAGAGGTGGCAATTAAATTCATTAAGGCAAAATCCATCCAATCCATCCATCAAAAAATCCATCCAATCCATTCACCAAACAAAAAATAAGTTAATGGATTGGATTAAATCCATCCATTTATATGCATGGATGGATTCAATCCATCCATTTATTTGCATGGATTGATTCAATCCATCCAACATATTTTAAGGATCCAATGGATTATTTTTATTTTCGTTAGATTTATTTTTTTAAAATTAGATTTTTTTTAAAATAATTAAAAACCTATTTTTTTTTCTGAAAAAAAAATTTTAATTTTTTTGAAAAAAAATTTGTTTTTTTTTTTCAGAACAAAAAACTGATTTGTTTTTCGAAAAAAAAACCGACTTTTTTTTTTGGAAAAAAAATCAGTTTTTTTTTCAGAATAATAAACTGATTTGTTTTTCGAAAAAATAAATAAATTTTTTTCTCGAAAAAAAAAATTTCTCGAAAAAAAAGCCGACTTTTTTTTTGGAAAAAAATTGGTTTTTTTTCAGAATAAAAAACTAATTTGTTTTTCGAAAAAAAAACCAACTTTTTTTTGGGAAAAAAATCAATTTTTTTTCTGAAAAAAATCGGTTTTTTTTTTCAGAATAAAAAACTGATTTGTTTTTCGAAAAAAAAAACGACTTTTTTTTGGAAAAAAAATCAATTTTTTTTCTGAAAAATCGGTTTTTTTTTCAGAATAAAAAACTGATTTGTTTTTCGAAAAAAAATAAATTTTTTTCTCGAAAAAAAAACCGACTTTTTTTTTGGAAAAAAAATCGGTTTTTTTTTCAGAATAAAAAACTAATTTGTTTTTGAAAAAAAAAATTATTTTTACGAAATTAAAAAAAAAGTTGGATGGATGGATATCCATCCATTAAAAATATGTTAATGGATGGATTAGATGGATTTTATTTTTAATGGATGGATCGGATTGGATAATTTTAATAAAATTTTAGTGGATTTTAATGGACTAATGGATTGTTTTGATCCATCCATTAGCAATCCAATCCATATCCATCCAATCCATCCATTTTGTCATCCCTATACAAATGGTTGTTTGGAACTCGAGTATAAACTGGCAATAGCAAATATCAATGCAATTAAATGGAAATTCACTTTAAGACCAATACGTAGAATGTAAAGCGTACCATTGTTGATCTCTTGTCATTAGGAGTCCATGAGGATATGGGAACGGGATATCTTCCTTTCTTGGCTGAGCTTGAAGATTGTCCGGATTGCTTCTGTCTTTTCTGTTCCTGAATATTTCCAGGTGTTTTACTAGGTTGGTACCTAAAGGAATCAAGTATAGAGGGACTTCTCTTCTTAGAAGCTTTTGAAACATTCCCCTGATACCCAAAATAAGAACTGGAATTCCCATACAATACTGATTTTTGACGCAATTTGCTCTTTTCTTTTACTTTATTAATAAATTCAGTTGTCCAAGGTGAATGCTTTAATGGAGTAGCTGACCTGCGGACACGTGAGAGTGGAGTTTCGCTGAAATATGATATTCCCTCCTCGAAGGTTAATCCTCCTAAGTTTCTTACCGGAGTTGAATCAATGTTTCCATGGGGATTGAAATCAAGAGGAAATGCATTTTTTCCAAAATCTGGCTCTGCATGGTGATCAACTTCTCCTGTATCTTTCATTGATCTCCATATTGAGTTGGCTTCTGGGTGAATGTTGTTACCAAATGACAATTTCCTTACAATTTTATTCTTTCTCAAATGATCTTTCTCTGTCTCATCTATCTGATTTGGGAAATACATGGATTCAGAAATGGAGAAGCTTTCATCCAATAGAGAACTATTAGTCAAGTCAACCACTTCACCTCAGATGCCCTCGTGCAGCTTCTCAAATTTACTAAGGTTGTGCCATTTCAAATTTTTCCTCATCAAATCATTATCCATTATTTCATTTTGAGCCAACCCTATATTTTTCAAAGAAAAACTGGGCTGTTCTAGCTGCTGCTCATATATTTGGGGAGCTTTGCAGCTCAATGATGATGGGGAGATTCTGGAGTGGTTTCTCATTGTCGTCGCAGTGTCATTTTGCTTTTGGCAAAATGGGTCAATCATGTGCAAACTAGCTTTTCCCGAGTCACTAGATCTCCAAGCATCTTTTGACATACCAAGATCATAAGGATTTTTCAAGGTAGACAGACCAGGGACAACCTCAACTACTTGGTTTAGTGTTTCGAATTGCAACAACTCATCAAAACACAGCTCATCACTCTGATCAATGACTACAAGGTTTCACTATGCCAAAAAAGACCTTTAGCAGCGCTTTTTTTGGCCTTTAGCAGCGCTTAAAAGCGCTGCCTAAAGTGGCGCTGCTAAAGGTAAAGGCAGCGCTTTTTTTTGGCCTTTAGCAGCGCTTTTTTTTTGCCTTTATCAGCACTTTTAGAAGCGCTTTTTTTACCCTATAGCAGCGCTTTTATAAGCGCTGCCTAATCCCACTTCACCTCCCCCCTTTAGCAGCGCTTTTTAAAAGCGCTTTCTTAGACCCCCCCTTTAGCAGCGCTTTTTTAAAGCGCTGTCTTAGACCCCCCTTTAGCAGCGCTTTTCTAAAGCGCTTTGTTAGCCCCCCCTTTTCCAACCTATAGCAGCGCTTTTTTAGACCTCTTTTTGCCCCTTTAGCAGCGCTTTTTTTAAAAGCGCTGTCTAGTCTTCACGATTTTGAAATATTTTTTTTTAAATAATCACATTTTTTATATATTTTTCAATAAACCTGTTTATAACAAATACATTCCCTGCTTATAATCCAGGCCTTTAGTTCAACAGTTTGGCCTTATATATAACAATTATTTTGGCCTTATTTTTGTGTATTCATCACTTTGCAATATTATACACAATAACTAAAATATACATTATAATTCATCACTTTGCAATATTATACACATAAACCTGCTTAAATATATTACAACACAGTCCGATCCTCAGAACAACATCACATATACAATCAATTTACATATAATTACAAATCCGATAACTTTACAAATAGATACATTATAGAATTCTCAACTCAAGAATAAATTGACACCATTCCTCCTTAATTTCTTCCAATCTTGCTTTCGAGTAAGTACCGCACTTGAAATCATCAAAATACTACATAATATAACAGAACATGCACGATTTAATTTTAAAACTAATTACTCAGATAAAATATCGGTTAATTATCAAAATGAATCATATAACTTATGAATTGATCCATACCATGATTGGAATCTCTATTTGACCAGAAAGAATAATTTCCTTCATAAAACGCAATACAAAATATCTGCAGTCAATCCCATTGCGCTGACGAGGACATTGTTAATGGAAAAAAGAAACGAACATTTATCAGGATATATAGTTTACATAACTATTTATCAGGATATATAGTTAACAAATTTTAACATCCATTTGCTTATAAAACTCTACTTATTTAAGACATTGAAATCTACTTAGAAAACTCTACTTATTTAAAACATTGAAATCGTCTCAGATAGCTCATGTAAATCAAAAGTAGATATTTTTTATTATAAATTCATTTGAAATCATAAGCATTATTATTAGTCTTATGTGACTCTATGGTTTTAAGATTGTTGGTTTAATTTATACCCTACAAAGTATTACATTATGCACACACAAGATTAGATAAGCCCTTCAGAAACATCAATTGTTATGTTATGTACACAGTATGAATAAACGCTAAAATTATGATGTTAATGTTGTTTTTATGTTTGAGTATCACATCCATATATGTTTGAGTATTACAGTCCAATTATCCCATGATTGCACTTCAGACATCCAATGACACAAAGTTGACAAGACCATGCAACTAACTAAGTCAATGTGAAAAACCAATATCATACACATAATCAAACAATATAATCTTCAGTGCATCTTTAATTGTCTCTACTTGTATCAACACTTCCTAAACTTGATATGCTTCAAACCATAAACACCCTAATTTTCTATCCTCAAATGTAAGTTATCACTCACTAAGTCACTGTTCATGTGTATATATATATATATATATATATATATATATATATATATATATATATATATATATATATATATATATATATATATATATATATATATATATATATATATATATATATATATATATATATATATATATATATATATATATATATATATATATATATATATATATATATATATATATATATTGTTGTTCTTCGGATCTGAAAATTAAAGTTTAGCACAAGGAAATTATCGGGACGAGTCGCGTACTAGGTCGCTTTCTTTAAGACGTTTCGCCGTACTGCCAAATTATGCAAAGCAGTCGAATTTACGACGACGCCTCCAGGATAAAACAGCTCGTTCAAACAACTTACGATTATCAGTTGCACACTGATGAATCGCTCTAGAAATACACCTGTCTAAGTATCTGGTGAAAATAACCAGTCAAGAAAAGAGAGTTTTTGAGATGAAGAGAAATGAGAAAGAGAAGAGGGAAATCAAAATTCGTGTGAATTTGTGAAATCCGATGTACCCACTTCTGAATTTCTACCCTGTATTTATAGGCAGCAAACTGCACCTGAGTGGGGAGAAATTCGTGGGGAGTGGAGAAAATGGTGGGAGACTGAGAAATTCGTGGGGAGTGGAGAAAATGGTGGGAGACTGAGAAATTCGTGGAGGACTGACTGACCAATTATTTTCTTAATTAATTAATATTTATTATTAATTAATTTTCCACCGAATTATATTAATTAATTAATGATAATTAAATTATATAAATTCGGGTCCAAAAAATAATTCATCTAGACCGGACCGAACCGAGCCGAGCCGGACGGACGGCGGCGGCGGCGCGCGCGTGTGTCTTGTTGGTCATGGGTGTGTCCTCACTCCTTTCACAAAATTGGGTGCCCTTTAGGGCCCAACCCAATAGACAAAGTTGGAATATATAAACACTACTAATATTTCCATTCCCTTCAATGTGGGACTAAAATGAATCTTTTCAAATTCACTTCTATATTAGTTCTCACTTGTGTTCATTTATTGCTCATTAATTGTCAACAAATGTTTCCAATTCCCACTATAATTAATTAAAGTTCCACCATTAATTAATTAAAGTTCCAACATTCCCCCACTTGAATTTAAAAGAGATTTTAGAAGTACGTCAGACGTTTCTCAGGTTGAGCATAAGCAAAGGTGTCTACGACTTGAACCTTAGCGTAGCGAGTAGGATTCTGATTCAACAAGAGTGACACCATTGTCTTGAACTCTATCTCGGACATCAGACCCGCACACAACCTTTCCGTAAGGTGTATTCTTGTAGCCCGTGCTTTAGTGGCCCTGCACGTGTATCCCGGTTTAGTGAATGCTCTAGGAATTCTGCCTCGAAATTCCATAGGAACCGGCCTAGTTCCACAGTCACATAGGTGAATCTATCAAGAGTACTCCTGTAGCCTAGGTACTCCCTCATACAGAGTATAGATCTCATTAAGAGTTTCTATTATCTCATCCTCTCATTACTTCAGGATTCATGCTTTACTTGCATGATCATTTTCATATTACTCATAACTTGTTATTACCCATTGAACCTAAGTCTTGGGATCTCCAGTCATTTAGGTCGGGTTACCATCATGAGTAACAAATTACTTTATAAGCATTAGTCCCATCCTTTTGGAAGTATTATGGACTTTCTCTCTAGCTAATCCTTTCGTCAAAGGATCTGCTAAGTTCTCATCAGTGCGTACATGATCCACTCTCACAGCTCCTTTAGAGATACAGTCTCTAACAGTGATATGTTTTCTTCTAATTTGACGTCTTTTACCATTATAATAACGGTTCTCAACTTTTGCAATAGCCGCGGTACTATCGCAGTGGATCAACACAGCTGGTATAGGTTTTTCCCATAAAGGAATCTCAGCTAGCAAGCATCTTAACCAACTTGCTTCTTCACTAGCTGTAGCTAATGCTATCATCTCAGACTCCATTGTGGACTGTGCCAGAATGGTCTGTTTCTTTGATTTCCAAGATACGGCTCCTCCGGCTATACTAAATATATAACCACTAGTAGCTTTGGAATCATCCGATAAGGTGTTCCAATTTGCATCACTATACCCTTCTAGTACAGCAGGAAATTTCTGATAGTGTAGGCCGAGGTCCATAGTCCTTTTAAGGTACCTCATTACTCGCTCAATAGCTTGCCAATGTTCATTACTCGGCCTACTTGTAAATCTGCACAACAGTCCTACGACATATGCAATGTCGGGTCTAGTACAATCAGTGGCATACCTAAGACTGCCAATGATGCTCGCATATTCTGCTTGTTTGACACTCTCTCCAGTGTTCTTAAATAGTTTCACACTTGGATCATACGGAGTGCATGCAGGTTTACAATCAAAGTATTTATATTTCTTTAAGATCTTCTCCACATAGTGAGATTGATCCAAAGAAATTCCTTGTTCGGATCTCGTGATCTTGATACCCAGGATCACGCTTGCTTCTCCGAGGTCTTTCATATCAAAGTTATTGCATAACAATGATTTCATATCATTAATGGCCTGAATGTTTGATCCAAATATAAGTAGATCGTCTACATATAGACATATGATAGTACAAATGCGATTCTCAGATTTGTAATAGACGCACTTGTCACTTTCATTCACTTTGTACCCATTAATTATCATTAGGTTATCAAACTTTTCATGCCATTGTTTAGGGGCTTGTTTTAGTCCATACAAAGACTTATCTAACTTACAGACCTTGCTTTCTTGTCCTTGGATTACAAATCCTTCTGGCTGTTC